AATCAATTTTAAAACAATAGAAAAAAAAAAACAACAAGTCAATCAAGTTAACTTAACTAACTTGTAATCTAAGATGTGCGATTGAAATAAACCCATGAAAAATAAAGCTGCAAAAATCATGAAGCTAAAGTTCCAATAATCTAACGTTAAAAAATAAAATTGAAAAATATTAAAAAGAATCAATTGGAAATTGAGCTAATTTTTAAAACTCATAATCCGGGTTATGAAACTTGGTTACCCCGTAGAAGAAAAATCCAAAAAAATCATGAAGAAAAAATCCCAATGATCCAAAATTAAAAAAAAAATAGTTGTGAAAAGAATAAGGGTCAGATTTGGTATAATAATTAAATAAAATAAATAAACAAGGGAAAAATTAAAATATAAATAAAATAAAAATAACAATCAAAATATTGTGAATAAAAAATTGGTGTACAAATAAAAATAAAATAAAATAATAAGGGATGAAATTGAAAAATAAAATAAATCAAGAGAGTGATAAAAAAAATAGCAATAAAAAGAATTTGAATCAAATATGTTAGATAAAAAAAAAATCTAATTTTATAAATTATTTTAAATAAAACAAATTATAATAAAAAATAGAGATCAACGTTAAAGAAAAAAAAGAAATTCTTTGAAAAATTAGAGGAGATGGCATGAGAGTCCGGGGGGAGAAAAAAGAAAAGAAAAGAAAAGTTAATGGACGCTAAATTGATGTTCTGTTAGCTACACAAAACGCTTTAGTGTTTGAGAGGCCGCTAAGATAATTTAAACATAACTCTAAAAGCATTGTAAGTCTGCCAAAATAACATGAGTGTTTGACTAGTTAGTACACCAGCTGTATGTACTAACCATTTTTTAAAAATAATATTATATATTAGAATACTAAATTGTCTATCTTTTAACTTGACTGTAACAAAAAACCAACTTAAAAATATAAAAATATCTAGCATGTAGCTTAATAATTTTTATTTTATTTTAAGAGTAATTCTATCATTTTACCATACTTGAAAAAAGAAGAATAAGAAGCTAGTTTAATGTTAATTGTTTTTAAGGGTATTTAAGTAATTTTACTATACTAAAAAATATAAAAAAGCTTATTTGTCTTAATTAATTTGATAACAAGAGTCATGTAAAAAGAAAAAAAGGAAGAATATTACCTCATTAACAAGGCCATTGGTTTTTGCTGGGAAAAGTAAGAATATAAAAAATATTATTTTAATATATAGTATTTCATGGCTTGAAATACAATGAATTACTATATATAATAATAATAATAATAATAATAATAATAATAATAATAATAATAATAATACCATAAGTTCAGAGAGTTGAGCAAATTGTTAAAATAATAGTTAAATCATAGAAGATAAGATTTTTATGAACCGGAGAAGATGAATTTGAACCCAATGAGAAATATCATTTGAACATAAAACTTAAAAACAAATAAACAAAGGTTGCAAAATCTTGACAAACACGAGTTACACTACTGAATTTAAATGTCTTTTATGGGAATTGAGCGTGACTAAAGGATATTCTATGTAATTAGGATATTTTTTAAATTGATTTATTGTTGTAGGATATTTTTTAATTTGATTTCATTTATTTAGTAAGTTCTTTTATATTTTTTTTTTATCTTCTTTCATCTATTTAATTTTTAGAGAGTTATAGGTGTTTTACCGTAATGATAATCCCATACTTTTTCATATGGTGCGAAACATGAAGCTATTATTTGAGATTGTGGTTTAAATAGGGGTTAACTAAAATTTAATTTTTTTATATTTTTAAATTATTTTAATATGTTGATGTCAAAAATAAATTTTAAAAAATTAAAAAATTATTTTAATATATTTTTAAAAAAACTTTGAAAATCAATCATTATCACACTTTCAAATACTCTAAAATTCATTAAATTTCTGGTGATTCATTATTATACCGTTATTAAATTAAATTAGAGATAATAGATATAATAAGACTAAGTTAGTTAAAAGTACCATTTTCTCTTATAACAGGGATTTTTCATATGACTGCTGTGTACCTCTGTATTCGCAACAACAACGTAGAAAATAGAAACACCTTAAAATTTTCAGTAGCAAAGCAAATAAAGGAACAAAACATTTGTTGTAAATTCGCGATGAGAAAGGAAAAAAAACCTTTAAAATGGAGCACCCATCCATTCATCCAGAGTCCAGACACACCCAAAAGTAAACTGGCTTCCACTTTATTTTTTCTCTTCTCCTTTGTCGGTAATTCACAAGCCTCCACTTACAGGCGTACAGACAGACGCCGTGTAGACTTTCCAACACTAATCCAAGGCCACAACCCAACCCCACGCAACCCTTTGACATTTTCCCAAGTCAACCCCAAAACCAGCACTGTTTCTCGAAAGCAAATGACAAGATAAACACCGAGATGCCAAATTGCCACTCTCTTTTTCTATATATTATTGTCTCTCCTCATCACAACCCCTAACCCTCTCTCTCTCAAAAAGTCAGCCCTTTCTTTTGTCTTCTCTCGATAACATCAGTCGCAGAAGAAAGGTACAGATTCACAGGCCTTGTCTCTGAAGCCATGGAGGATATTGATTGGGATCTTCATGCTGTGGTCAGAGGCTGCACCACCTCTCCCTCTGCCTCCACCACAGCCACAGCCACAACCACCATCAACAGCAACAGCAACAGCAACGGCAACGGCACTTCTAGTGGTTATAGATCAGATTATTATCCTCAATATTCTTGCTTTTCTGGTTTTGGCAGTGAGCAAGGTGGCCATCTTTTCTCTCATCCAGATCCCTTTGAAACAAGAAATGTTATTGGAGAACTGGATGAGCTTTACAAGCCATTTTTCCCCAAAACTCAGCCCCTCCTTTATTCTCCACAAGCCTGCACACCTATCTCTTCGTTTTCTTCGTTTGTCAGTTTTAACAAGGATTTACAAACCCAGCCAAAACAACAGCAAAAAAAGTCACAGCCTAAGCGGTCTCATGCCGGTTCTGTGACTAGCAGTGGAAATTCTCACACACCTCGATCCAAAAGAAGGTAAATCTGCTTACTTTTCACTTCTAGCGAGTAAAATTATTTGATTTGGTAGATAGTCATCAAAGAAAGACGACTCTTTTGCTAAAATATGGTTCATTTGTATATTTATGTCTTGTCACAGAAAGAACCAGTTAAAGAAAGTATGCCAAGTACCAGCAGAGGCTCTATCTTCAGATGTGTGGGCATGGCGTAAATATGGGCAAAAACCAATCAAAGGCTCTCCATATCCAAGGTAATATATTATGTATCCGTGTTGAATTTAATCAAAGCCTGCCTTTTATCTTGGTATTCAATAATTATGTCTGCTTTTCTCGTTTTTTTCTCGGTCTGGTATCAAGTCAAAGCTTGTAAATTTTCAATATCTATTTGATTAAAACTTTCGTTTTTTCTGTGATTAACAGGGGCTATTACAGATGCAGCAGCTCAAAAGGGTGTTTGGCCCGGAAACAAGTGGAGAGAAACAGATCCGACCCAGGAATGTTCATAGTGACGTACACAGCAGAGCACAACCACCCTGCCCCTACACACAGAAACTCTCTAGCAGGTAGCACGCGTCAGAAGACCTCAACACCACAAACTGGTACATCTGACGATTCTAACAAACCATCATCACCAGCCCAACCCACTTGCTCATCTCCAGCAACTTCCCTGGAAGATGAGCTACTAGTTCAAAGTACTACGGACACAGAATTAAGCAGAGAAGAGAAAGATATAACGGAAGACGACGATGAAGATGAGCTTGCTGGATTCTCGGAGATAGCTGTTGGTGATGATTTCTTTGCGGGTTTGGAGGAATTTGTTGTTCCGGCTACCGGATTTTTCTCTGATCATTTTCCTGCAAGTTTTGGTCTGCCTTGGCATCCTAACAATAATGCTGCCACGGCAGCCGGAAGTATATCTGACATTAGCTAATGGCATCTCCTACATTGGCCTTGAGCTTTTCTTTTCTTTTCCCGTTATGTATACTCTTGTATCATTTTACTAGAAGTAGGATCTCGAAGACATCAATGCCTTGTGCCTGTGAAGTGAATGGTGTAGGAAAAAAGGAAAGAGTTTATTCCTTTTGTTGATCTGTAGATTGTTACTAAAATTAGAATTAGTTTTAGTTGTTCACTATCCAACCACACCCCCCCCTCCCCCGGCTATTAGTCCTGACTATTTAATGACAGCAATAGATTAGTTTATTCCCATGACATGTTTGCCTCTTCTGAAGCACCCACAATGTGTACGGCAGCTGCAGGAACTTGGACATAAAACGTTTTTGACATCTCCTTGGTTTCTCAGGGAGATCCAAATTTGTGAACATGAAAAATAAAATAACACTAAAAATGAGAGGAAGGAATCCATCATTGATCGGGTGGAGTCGTGGGATTAGAACGCTCATATTGATACACCTCTGGATGCGGTTCTCTAAAAAAGCCCTGCTTGAAGCCCCAACAAATATCACAACCTGGGGAGAAATCGTACAGACAGGAAATTGGAGAGCTTCTTGGTGTCTCGCAAAAACTGCGAACTTACATGTATGCAAGGTCCACGTCCTCGCAGAAGCTTTCCGTGCAGCGGAATGAAAAACTTCATATCCCCCAACAAGATTTTCAACTTCTCTGCTTCACCAACTGCAGAGAGCCACTCTGTGAGGGGATCTCCATAGTTATATAATCAGGATTACAAGCATGCTCTTTCATACATGAATTCAAACGCCTTTTCCAAATCTTTCTCCTCTCTTAGGCCTTTGAATATAGCGTTGTATGTGGTGGTATTCGGTGTTGACCCTCCTAATTTTCATATCTTCCATCAAGGAAACAGCAGATTCACTTCATTGTTCTTGAACAAAGTCTACGAGTATGTTGTATATAAGTGTTTGGTGGAACCTTGGATGCAGCTTTCATGTCTTTGAAAATCTCCATAGCTCCGTTCACATTTCCATTTAAGCACTATGCATTTATCAGAAAGCTGTATGTAGCATTAGTGGGCACCACACCGTCCTAGAACATCTTTTTCAGGACTCTCTGGGCAAACTTTAAATCCACAGTTTTGCTGATATAAAGCAATCAAAGTGTTATAAGCGATAGCAGGTTCCAATCCAGCTGCGTCCATTTCCTTGAGCAACGCAAAAACTCTATTAAACTTGATCTTCCTGCAAAACCCTCCAATCAAAACATCATAGCACACCGTGTCATGGCGGAAGCCAACCTCTTTCCACTTTGACAAGACAAGACTGCCATCATCCATCCTTCCATCTTGGCTAAAACCAGAGATCATGTTATAGTAGACAATTGCATCCGGAGAACATCCACTCGTCAACATTTCATTGAAGAATTCCGTTGCGTTTTCGAAGTTGTTCACGTTACAGAAAGCACTGATCAAAGCAGAGTAAGCAACAGCATTGCCTCTCAAACCTCTCCTTCGCACCTCAACCACCCTACCGACTCTCCCAGTTCTACACATTCCACCAACCAAAGTACCAATAGTGACAACGTTTGGTGCAACCCCATCTTTATTCATCTCATCAAACAGCTCCTTTCCCTTTTGTCCCTCACCCGCTTTACAAAACCCCTTGATCAAGCAATTGTACGTAATTGTATCAGGAGAACATCCCTTTTGCAATCCCGTTCGTTCCATCAAACCCAATCCCTCTGCTTGCCTTCCAACTTTGCTAAGTCCTCAATCAGTGTCTTGTAAATAACAACAACTGGTTCAACTGAAACGCTTAAGCCACCACTCTCTTTACCTGCACACATCTTTTCAAGAACCTCCAACGCAGCGTCGACTCTCGTAAACTTGCACGTGTGATAAATAAGAATCCCAAAAGTAACAACATTGGGCTGAATATCCATTTCCACCAACTTCGCCATCAGTCCGTTCATTCTATTAAAATTGTCCTGCCTTGCTAATCCTGTCAATAATGCATTGCAATTTGCAAGTATCGGATTCCAAGATAGTCCCTAATTTAATCAATTCATTTAAAAGATCCCAAGCTCTATTATCAATCGACACATCCACAACGAACTAATAAGAACCCCCCCATGCTCACCGAACTTCAACGCCAGATTAACAATCTCGTCACCTAAAAACCCTCCATTTCTTTCTCCTTCAACAAAAGACGAAAATAGAATGTTTCCTGTAGCATCGTTGGGGACACCAACTAGACTCTTCATTTGACATCCATTTCATCAAACACCTTCAATGCATCTTCGACAAGCCCCAACCTCATCCAAATACAAAGCCAAACATTATGAACATTGGTGTTTTTAACATACGGGTCAAGTTCATTGAAGAAAATGAGAAATCCCTCCACCAACTCACTCGGACAGATATTGCATTCATGAAATTCTAGTTTTCCTTTTTATGACTACAGTTTCTTTATAAAAATTAGAGGTTTATTCTATTTTCAGAATAAGAGCTAATTTTGATTTGTTGAAACTTTGTTAGTAAATGGATTTGATATCTTGGTTATCTCATTTTAGGTTAGAATTCAAGCAAAGCCCACAAAAAATGAAAATAAATTTTTTGCCATTGATCCATGTCCAAGACTCAACAACGAAATTACCTAGTTTTGACATGCCAAAGCTAGCTCAAGAATACAATACCAACCAGCAAACATCAAAATGATTCCAACAAATTTCACTTGGATTGACATTTTTGGTAGCTGCAGATGACTATCGAAAACAGTATCCGGATCCATCATTACTGCTAATATCCCTTGAGTTTTGCCGCACAACAGGAAATAGACACGAACACACACAATGGAAGCAATTGTAATCTTTTTGAAGTTTTTGGTCATTTATGTCATGAGTCTGTCCGGTGAATAATCTTCTTGTGATGAAGATTAATTCATATTCCTGCCATCTATCTACCTAAAACGGATCTAAGAAACCAGCGAATCCATTTGCAAAACCAAAGCATTTTAATTGCATTGACTTGGCTTTGTCCTAAAACTCAAATCACTCCTGATAGACATGGCTCAAGATCAAATTTCAAGTTATATTTTAATTTCTACTCATTTTTCTGGCGGGGGGGGGGGGCAGATACAGTTATTTCAACAGCAAAATGGAGGTCACTGTACTCTTCTTTCTGATCAGGAAAAAGGGAATAAGAAGCACGTCTGCTGGATTGACTACAATCATTTGCTGGACCATTGCTTGATCCAGCAGTTTTATTTTTTTCACCTGCTGCAGCTGTTGAAGCCGCGGCCTTGTCCAAACCTAACTCTTGCAATTCGCTAATGAAACCATTTATCTCAATTTCACTAATTTTATATGGACTGTGGAGAGGACCAGGGAATGAACCATTTTTCACTTCTTCCTTGTATTCAACTAGAGCTTTGTTGATGACATCTCCAACACGTGCACACTGCTAACAGAACTTTTGCGCAACCCATAAAAAGTAAAGCAATCCTTCTTTGAGCATACAGATCGTTAGCTATGCGAAGGAGATCGACACACCAGGGTGGCAATTATAGGATGAACCTTGGCATGATGAGGGTGTCGCATCATTCCCAGCAGGTCGTGGTAAACTAGCACCTGCATGGAAAGAAGCATTCAATCTGAAGTAAAAAATTAAGAACGCAAGCTTGCAAGTTTCCTGAAAAGAAACAAAAATTACAGAGCTATTTCTAGGTATTCTTGGGTGTTTGAAATTGATAAATGGTCAACGGTAAGCTCTTCTCGATAGTGAGAAGCCACACAAGGGGTAGGTATTCCATCTGCTGTGAGATTTTTACACGCATACAATTCCTTTTAAATTAATTCTTTGCTGTAACTGTACAAACTACCCCCACATCTAGAAAGTGAGTTTTAGCAGCAGCAGTTCTCGACGATGACCCTCCTTCCAATTTAATCGCGTCCATTTCTCCATACTTCAGAATCCTAACGGCCGTATCAAGTGCCTGCTCATAACCCAGACTGCATCAAAATCACCAACCAATTCCTCACTTAAAACCCACATCCAAACCAAGAGAGTAACATTTTTAGTTTGAAAATTTAATGGGTTCCCGGTCAGTCCCAAAAGGCAAGTCACCAACAAGAAGCGGTCTTTCGGCGCCACGAGCAACAGCTCGGCAATGACCGAGCATCTCATCGAGAGAGATAGGGAGGGTGGTGTCTGTTAGGCTACAGCCTAATAAGTTAAGTCTATAAAGAAATAAGAGAGAAGAAGAAGCAGAACACGAAGAAGAAGAAGAGTAGAAGAGTTGATACAGAAAGTGTCCTTCCAGTTCTGCATTTACAACTTATATGCATGGACTTATTGACTTCAGCTGATCTTTCTAACTAACCCACCTAAGTATAACAGTGTTATACTGTTATAAATTCCACGTGCCATATCCAACTGTTATTCCTTCCCACCTATTTACCACATGCCAATTACCCATCCTTGACATCTAGACCATAATGAACTCAGGATTGTAACGGTGTCATGGCCGTGAACAACCATAGAAGCCGAGTAGCCGAGTAGAGCTGTTTATTTCTATATTTTAAAAATATTTTTGAAGAAATTAAATTTTTTATTATTTATTTTAAATTAATTTTTTTTAGTATTTTCAAATTATTTTAATATTAAAAATAAATTGTAAAAATCAAAAAAATATTATTTTAATATATTTATAAATAAAAAATATTTTAAAATACAACTACTATCAAATTTATAAAACAAACATCATCCCGGCTGTGTCTAGTTGGACAAAGTAAGGGTAGTCGGAGGCGTGACCTCCTTGTGTTTTTCATACCTAAAGTTTTAAGCTTCGTGGGTGTCACCATGTTTTTTTAATACCTTGAAAAATATACTAGTATTTATAATTTTATTTTACATATTAAATAAATAATTTACAAAATTAATTAATAAAAAAGTATGAAATATTATATGTTTATTGCTGTAATTGATTAATATCTAAAGTGCCCTTCTAATTTTGCATCTTCATTTTCCTCACGTCACATTTTTTGCATCTCATCCATCCAGCATTTTTTTTTTTCAAATCCATGATAAAAAAACACCCTTAATGAACAATTTCGCACACCTAGCATACTAACGGCATGGATCTAAATTGCAGCCTTCCCTTCCACCGACACAACCACTGTTCAAATTCAGCAGCCGTCTGAGAGTCACCCTAACACCGACCACCAGTACACCACCACCACACAACCATATTATGTATCGTAAATTCAACAACACCCATAAACCAAACCCTCACACATCCATCCCTCTCTCACTCGTAGTTCTCCCCTTTAATCCCCACGTGTAAAACACACCAACGCCAATACACAACACCGACCATCACTAATTAAACCACCAACACAGAACCATCTCTTATACCATAAAACCTGCAACACTCATAAACCGAACCCTCACCCTCACCCATATCTCTCGGTGCGGGCCTAACCTCACTCTTTTTATTTATTTATTTTTTAATTAATATGCCCCTCTTTTGTATGGATTATTTAGTTTACTTTATTTCTTTTATTTCGACTTAAATCAACACTCTTTCTCTCTCTGAATTTTTAAATTATTTTATTCAACTTCTTTTTCTAATAATAATTATGTTTTTCTAATTATTTTTTATTTTTTAGAATATTTAGAGATTATTATAATTTATATTTATATTTATACTTTTTTATTTTTTATTTGATAAGAATAAGCTATATTTTTATGCTGTAATTTTTTTAAAACAAAATTGTTTGTTCTTGATGAGAAAAAATAACCTCTATAATGAAAAAAACAAAAAATACATAAATTTACAAGAAAAATAGGTTTTAAATGTTTGCATATGCTACACCCAACATAACAACAATCTTAAAATTTTTAAAAAAGTATAAATATCAATCTGGTTTAAGGTGTAGCCACCTAATATTATAATTATTGTCACACTCGGACATCGCGGCAACCTTAAAAATATTATTTTCAAGAAGAACGGATTTCTGGTATCCTGTTCTTTAATGGGGAATGATTTTGTTTAAGGAGTCGCCACCTAGTATTACGGTTACTAGAAACCCTAACTGGTCAACAGAGATTCTATGGTTCGGGATTGGTTACGTAAAAGGGAAGATACTATCACCTCTTAAACGTCCCGTCTGAAGCAGGCTGCATTGCTAGTTTCGTTTTAAATTGCTAAATATTTATTAGTTCATGTTATGATAATTTGCTTATAATATTCCCGACTCTAGCGCTAGTGAATATTCAACTACGGATACTTCCAACTCTGGCGTTGGTAAATATTACATAACTATAAAATAAATTAGATCAATATTTTTTTTATTTCCAACTCTAGTGCCAATGAATAAATAAATAAAAATTAATTAATTTTTATGCATGCACATATTTTTTGTTTTTTCTAGCAAATAAGATAAAATACAACAAATAAAAATAATATAAATTTAAACCAGTATTTTTATTTCTGACTCTAGTGTTAGTGAATAAACCAATAAATTTATATTATTTTTATTTTCACATACACATTTTTTAATTTTTAATTTTTCTAATTTTTTTTAATTTTTATATATTTTGGGCTGGGTTGAGCTCAACCCATTTGGGCTGGGCTGGACCCAACCAGCCCCGCCAGGTCACTGGGCC